CAGCCGAGGCTTGAGCAAGCGGCCGATCCCGTGTTTTCTCTCTGCCAAAAAAAGAGAAAGAAATGGGAGGAAGGAGGGAAGAGTCGCACCCTGTCCGCCCGGGTCCCAGCGCCTCGTCCCCGTCTTACCGGTCCGGAGCCCCAGGGAGAGGAAAGCGGCGCCCAGCCAGCTCCCTCCCCCGCCGACCATGATCCGAGCCTCCTCGCTCGGCTGGGTCTCCCCCGGTTGCTGCTGCTGCCCAAGCCCCGGAGAGCCCGGCCCCTTCCTGCCTGCCTGCCTGCCTTCCTCCGCCGCCTTTCCTCCCTGACCCGCTTCCAGCGCCGGCGACAGCCAATGGAGGGAGAGCCGGGGCTCCGGAGGAGGAGGAGGCTGGGTGGACCGGCCTGCCCTCCCGCCCCTCTGCCCGCCCCGGCTCCGGGGAAGCCAGGCAGGCCGGCAGGCAGTAGAGTAGGCCAATTGAGTTTAGTAATTTTACTGGCTGGCGGGGCTCGGGCTTCCTTCCCCAGCGATCGATCGGCGGGCCGGGCGCGCCTGGCAGGCGAAAGGAAGGTGGGCTTCCCCTCTGGGCTTCGGGGGGTGGGAAGAAGAGAGGCTCAGCCTTGGGGGGGCCGAGGGGCTGCCGGCCTCTCTCCTTCCTCCTCCGTGGCCGTGGGTGGACGGGAGAAGGGCGGCCGGACGGACGGACGGCACCTCTGGCTGCCAGAAGAGGCGAGACCTCCAGAGACCACGGGGCGGGGGGGGAGAAGAAAAATCCCTCCTGCCTGCCTGCCGGCCATCCATCCACCGGCTCTCTTGGAGGAAAGCACCGCTTCCCCCGGGCTGGTGCGGGGAGGGAAGGCCTTTAAAGGGTGCCGCCAACAGCCAGGGAAGGGGCCCGTGGATGTCAAGGCCAGCCGCCGTTAGCGAGAGCCCGTGGTTGGAGAGGAACCTTTCCCGGTTTGGGGGCTGGGGGCTGGCGACTGTCTTTCTGGGAGTTTGCCCCCGCCAGACCTCCCTTCCAAGGGCATTCTTGGGTCACTAAACCCATTGAGTGGAAGCTGGCAATCAGGGATTGCTGAGTCCGTGGCTGGGGGTTCGATGCCCTCCCGGGGAAAGAGCCAGTCCAGGTGGCCTCGGGCCAGTTGCGGGATCTCAGAGGAAGGGAAGGGGAAACCACTGCCCTCTCTGGTCTCTAGTTGGAAAAAGACCACACATTATTATGAGGGATGGAGAGAAGCACACTCAGATGTTTGCATTAGTTGAGGGTTTCTGTCTTCCAGGCAGGGGCTAGCTCTAATGTATTTTTCTGTCCGTGATCCGTATGTTTCCTTCTCTCTCAGGTCAAAAGCAAGCCAGGAGAGTGGCCTGGAGGAATCGTACTCCAAGTTGTAGAAGCCAGGATCCCAACTCCCTGTCTCTGTGCGGAGAGAAAGGATGGCCCCTTCTAAGCCTATTACCAGGTTCTGGGAGTGGGGCAAGAACATCATCTGCGTGGGGAGGAATTATGCGGAGCACGCCAAAGAGATGAAGAACACCCTTCCCACCGAGCCGCTCTTCTTCCTCAAGCCGTCCTCCGCTTACGTCCGGGAAGGCTCTCCCATCGTCCGGCCGTACTATTGCCACAAGCTCCACCACGAGGTGGAACTAGGGGTGGTGATCGGGAAGAGAGCCCAGGAGGTCCCCCAGGCGGCCGCCATGGGCCACGTGGCCGGCTACGCCCTCTGCCTGGACATGACGGCCAGGGACACCCAAGAGGAGTGCAAGGCGAAAGGGCTCCCGTGGACCTTGGCCAAAGGGTTCAGCACCTCCTGTCCGGTCAGTGACTTCATCCCCAAGGAAAAAGTCCCAGACCCACACCAGCTGAAGATCTGGCTGAAGGTCAACGGGGAATTGCGCCAAGAAGGGCATACGTCGGCCATGATCTTCTCCATCCCTTACGTCATCAGCTACATCAGCGGGATTATCACGTTGGAAGAAGGGGACGTCATCCTGACCGGCAGCCCCCAAGGGGTTTCTGCGGTGCAGGAGAAGGATGAGATAGAAGCCGGGATCGAAGGCCTGCTGACGATGCGCTTCCAGGTAGCGCAGCAGAAGTATCGGCCTTGAGGTACAATGTTTCTTTTTTTCCAGGAAGGGGTCACATTCTGGGCTCCTTCGGACTGGAACAGGAAGGCAGCACACCATCATCCTCCTTCTTTCCCAATGAGCCGGACTTCTCCTCTGCAGGTCCAGGCCAGGAGGCATGCCCTTTGGATCATCCTGGTTCTGACTGCTCTCACAGAGGGCAGAGAGAAGGTTGCATCCCTCTGCCCAGTTGTTCCCTCTCAACTACAGTTTGGTCCATTACGTCAATGAGAATTTGAAACCTCAACGTGTATGCGGAATCGTTGGATCCGTGGCTCTACTCCAAGAGTGATTAGTCAGCGCCTGGATGTAGGACAAAGTTTTTTTCCTCTTTGCTTGCAAAAGAACAAGATAGAAGGGGAAGGCTTTGTTTACGCCAGGTTGTGTTTAGTAATAAAAACTGCAACTGTGGCATTTCTTAAAAATACAGCCAACAAATGCAGTAAACATTCTTTATTACCACTGTGCCTGAACAGAATGCAATGGAGAATTTTTTCTCAATAGATTGTAATTTAGAAAACATTTTGCAGTGAAATCTAATGGAACTGTGAATACTAAGGTGTCAATTAAACAAAACGTTTGTCTTGCTGCATTCCTTAATGACGTCTCAGATTTCCTGTTATCACTTGACAAGGGTCTTGAAGCAAAACAGGATGACATATACATTTATAGTATTCGAAGCACTTCACCCATAGAGGCTGAAATCTTCACAACAGCCCTTCAGAGCTGGGCAGTATTATCTGTCCAAGGCAAAAATTCCCCTGGGGAGCAGGAGGGGAAAAATGGAGCCATGGCTTTGCCCATCCAGTAAGTTAGGGGCAGGTGTTGAGATTTCAGGTTGGGCCTGCTGTGAGAGCTTTCTCTTTCAGATAGCAGATCGATGCTCACCACAAAACACCACTTTAATATCCTTGTTTAAGGCCATTAACTTGACATTAAATTATAAAATATATATCTCAAATTATTATACTTGGAAAGAAACTTTGCTTTTCATTCAAAGGAGGGTGTATACTTACATTTTGGAAAGTCATTAAGCTAAGCTGTTCTTTAAAACAATGACACACTTGCAAAAATTAAGTTTTGATCAAAATGCGCTTTTTACCACTTTTGCAATGAGGAGGAAGCTTCTGAAGATCCACTCTCATGTGCTTACAGCTATTTTGAAGCTAGGTGCTGTATTTATTTTGCCTTTTCAAGCAAATTTAGGCTGGCCTCAACAGGATCTGCTAGTTTGCAAGAAAGCAAACTCACTCTCAGTCCAGTCCATGAGTTGGCTGAAAAATTAACCTATGGAAATATAAAATAATACTTGTTTAAACAAGCCTTTAAAAAAAAAAAAACACCCTTTTTCTTCCAGAACGAAGACTAAACTTCACAATGAATCATATAAAACTGTATTTTGAAGTAGGAAATGGGGGAGGGAAACATGTTTAATACTTTCGTTTGCATTTTAACCCCCTTTTAGCTGCTTTTATTCCATCAGCAGAAAATGCACGGGTAGCTGCCATTATCTTTTCTCCAGCTGGGATATAAGCAGGCGTAAAGGGAAAATAGCCTTTAGTGGGGCAATGACATGAAGTAACCCACTTTGTTTATTACAGGTTGTGTTTAGTGATAATAATAATAATAAAAGCAACTGTAGCATTTCTTAAAAATACAGCCAACAAATGCAGTAAATACATGCAGTGTCAACTGTTACATTTTGTAAAACAAACATATATGTTGCATATATATAACAATTAAATCATACCACTCAAAACCTGTATTTAAAACAATAAAGCAAAGGCTTAGTTAAGGGGGAAAAGGATGGGGGGGCGGGGTTTACAGGACTGGTGAAGTCCTTGAAGCCAAACTTTCATGTTGGAAACCCATGCAGGGCTGTGAAAGGTGAACATTGTGGAAGCAGTGTTTTGTATTCATATCAATCTGCTGAGCTGGCTTCCACTTAACGATTTCTTAGCTACTACATTGCTCATGGAAGGGGGAGGATTTCTACGACATGTCATTTTTTTCCCTGCAGCCTAAGTTTGAGCATATGGGTGGTTTAGTGAGAAAGGCCAGATGACTCATAAACATGTTGGAGCTTGCTTATGGATTCAACTGTAGGTTGCAGAGAAAATATGACATGTCAAAGAAATCCTCCCCCTGCTCATGAATGTAAGAACGTAGGATGATCCTTTATGGATCAGACCAAAGGCCTCTCTAGTCCAGTCTTCTGTTCACACTGTAAGCGACCAGTTGCTTATGAGAAGCTGATACAGATAATTTATAGCCATCATGACTAATAACCATGGATAACCTTACCTGCCATGAATTTAGCTAATTTTCAGGGCAAGCAAGTGCCTACGAGGATTTATTAGCTATCAGGAAGTCTGGTATCTAGAGTCGGACACGACTGGACTAAATGTCAAGGGGAACCTTTACCTTTACTAGGAAGTCTGCAGGAGCAGATTATTTTTTCCCCTAAAATATATTTTATGGGATAAACTGTTCAGTACTGCTGTAGCCACTACAAAAAAAAAACACTTTTCTTTAGATTTGTGTCTCTACTTACTTTAAAGTGAATTTTACTGCGTTCAAGAAGAAGGTGCCATTTTAGGCCAGTCTTTTGAGACTCCGTCAGAGCCTGGAACTCCTGGACCTAATGGGAAGACCATAGTTTAATTGGCCTGAAATGCACATAATTCACAGGAAGGCGTGCTCTTCCAGAAGAATATACCATAACCAGACCCAATGACAACTTGGGTGTCTGCCTTCGTGTTTCAGGATTCCTTGGAGTAGAGGAGAAAGGTCTGAAAAGACTAGTGAATGGAGAACGTGTTTCTGATTAAACAGATGCCCAAGTGATGACTCCAGGATAAGTATCTAAGAGGAATCTTGAATAAAATGAAATACAAATTTAAAAAATGTTGGCCTGAGATATTTACGAAGACGTCCACTGAGTGCTTACGCTAATTGGCATGCTTGGATTGGCAGCAGTGAGTACCAAATTCTGTGGCACCTTAAAAGACTAAACACACTCCTGTGCAGTCTTACATAAGTTAAAGGCTGCTTCATCTGCTAGTAGTCTTGATAAAAGGTATAGGCACCGTTCTGACACATAAAATGTATTAGTTAAGGGGAGGGCTAAATAATCCTGAACAAATATCACAGTAAGGTGGATTTTTTGCAGGTAAAATAGAGTGAGTGAGTGAACAAACAAACTAGAAGCATAAGCTTGAGCAGGGGGAAAATGCTATGGCTAGTGTGTTCTTACCGTGCAACCTAAAGCTTCTTCAGCTACTGTGTCTGAGAGCCTGCAAGAATGAAGCGTGCCTGTGTGGTCTGTCAGATCAACTAGTAAATCAAAGCTGGGAAAAACAGGCGTGGCTTCTGAAGAGGAGAGACTGCTACAGAAAGAGCAGGTATCTGTACTTTCGTTGACCACATAGCGGCACTTGGCACTGCAAGAAAGAGAGACTATTTTAATATGGACCTTGTCGAGTGATTTTCAAACTGAATTTTTGTTATAGTGTTTCCCACTGTTTTTCCATACCCTCTCTGGGTATGCCCTCTTTCCTAGCCAGTCTTTGGAACCGGTGGTTCGTGCCCATCTCTAATCACAAAATGAAGCATACTAAATGCAAGGTATGAAGGTGAGGAAAATCACATGCTATAACACCCGTGCTATTTGTAAACTGTTTGGGGATTTTTCAAATGAAAAGCAGTATAGAAATGCTCTCGAATAACAGAGGGCTTTCAGCACTTTGAGAGAGTGTTCTTCACTGGATAGCCAAGTTAGGTGAGGTTAGGATATTTCAATAAAAGGTTTGATACAGATTTAGGAAAGCAATTTGATAAACAGAGGAATGGGAGTTTTCAGGGCAGAACTGGAAAAGGGAATGAAATATCCTGTACAAAAATTAACAAAATGCTTACCATCTGTTTCGTATTATTTTAGTGGTTTCGTTATCAATATTCAGTGTTGAAATGTAGGCAAAAACAATGCCATAGAAAGGTTCTGTTTTTCCCTCATTCTCCAAAGCTTCCATCTTTATTTTCTCCACTGTATAAACACCAAGTATTGTCTGTACTAAAGATAACAAGGGGGAGGGTTATCTATATGTTGAATTACCCATATGTTGCACCCTGTTATTTATATTTGTTCATATTATAAGCAAAACTCTTGCTCTGTCCTTAACTGGAGAGGTAAGTATCCTGGTGCCCTTCCATCAACCCAACCATTAATTGCCATCTCTGCAAGTAATCGGGAGACACAGACAGGTCTGCTAATAATATGTAAATGTATATAGTCAAAGGTTGGGGAAGGTCTGGAGGATACCAAAATCTCCATAGATCACTAGATTTCCTATTTTGAAACACCAAAATGACATACCAGTCAGATAAATACTACCTGAGAAGCTGTTCAGGGGTACAGACAGGCAGGGATGTTTTATACAGTATAGTCATTGTGACTTAAGCAATACAGAAGCAAACTTCATACGGAGAAATCACACGTTGGGTTGTATACACAAAACATAGTTTTAAAAATAAGAGAAGCATGATAGCACTGAAATTGTGCAGGGCTCACACAGACAGAAAGCCCACTGGGTTCTGACTGGGCTTTGTTGATATTCAAAAGGGTGGACCCAGAATCAAAACCCCAGGCAACCTATATGGATCCATCAAAAGAAAGGAACGCTTGGAAGCACACTCACAGTTTATTGACTCTCTGAGTTCATCTCCCATGTCGTCATCCAAATCTAACATTTCTGCATTTTCTTTTATAAAGTTGAGTAGAACACGTGCTTTCGGGGTGTCTTGAAAAAAATATTTTTAAACACAGTGTTAATACAGGCAAGGCCATCTGAGGCCAACTAGGAGGCTGTAGCTTGAGGATTAAGGTTTCCTGCTAAGAGCCCAGAGCCAAGCCGGGTCCGTTGCAGAGAGCAAGGCTATCAGGAAGAGCAACGGAAACAGCCCTCCGAGGCAGGGAAGCAGGGCAGTTCAATGGCACTCTCTGCCTGAAGTAGCCTTCTCACGGCTGTGGATATACAGTAGCCATTTCCTGATCTTGCTGTCAGACATTCCTGTTTCATGAAGAGTCTCTGCCTGAAGTAGCCTTCTCAGGGCTTTGGATATAGCCATTTCCTGATCTTGCTGTCAGACATTCCTGTTTCATGAAGAAGTCTGGGGTTGCACCTTAGGCGTGCAGAGCTATTTTATTAACCAGCCATCTGTATGCCACCTTACAATCGGGAAGACTCCTACCCAAACTACGTAGAGTGTACAATTCATTGCAGGGGAGAAGACAGATATGCTGAGGCAATGAATCAAGAAGAAACCAATCCTTCCAGAAAACAACCCTTTCAGCACGAGGGGCAGCAGTTTTCAAGCATGAGGGTCAGCAAAGGGAGAAAGCATGGCATTGTCTGAGAGAGCCCAATGCCTTCAGATGGTTGAATGTGGTAATGCTGGCAGTGATTGAATGATACGATGAATCTGGGGAATGAAAGAGAAGGCAAATTGAAAGCCAAAGCATTGCGCTTGTTCAGTAGGGCGGACGGTGATGTATTTAATAGATCAAGGAAAGTGAAGTAGATGAAGGTTGGAGGTGAGAAAGCTGATATTGGACCCAATATTGAGCAAGAGGGAGAAAGTGCTGGAAGAGAAATGTCATGCAGGATAAGTGCCAGACTGAATAAGTGCCTGAGAAATGTCTTTTCCAGGAGCTTAACAGATTGGGCTAAACAATTCCTTTATGACAAGCATCAGGGACAGATGGAAGTATACAGACTGGTGGGTTTTGTTTTTTGTTTGTTTGTTTCAAAGAGGACATTTGGACAAACTACTCTATAGGCAAGCAGTACCAGTCTTCAATTCCTAAGCCACCGTTTTGATCGCGTATAAAAGAAGACTATTCTAGGGAATTGTGCCATGATTTTAAAAAGGATTTTAAAGCTGCCACTTACCAGGATTAGTTGTAATGATGGTTTTTGAAATTACAGTTGCCACCATGCAGTTTCGAAATTTGTCAAAGTTTATTCTTTGGGTTTTGTGTTTGTTTGTTTTAAAGAGGACTAAGTGAGGTGGCTGCACTCACCATTTGGATTTCCTCAGAACAAAGTCATCTGGACAAATCAAGAATACAGCTGCTTCACTCACTGTCTCTTCAGATATCATGGTGCTGTCAAGCATTCTCGCCAACCACCTACACGGAGGCTGGCATCGGCAACAATGGGCAAACGGCATATGTACAAACATGCCCCGTGTTGACACCAGCCTTGACATCTGGCAGAAAGATGTTACTGAACACCTACTTGTTATGAACTGTCACCCCCTCCTCTGACCATAACAAGAATTAAATATTGACATTTGGACAAACTACTCTATAGGCAAGCAGTACCAGTCTTCAATTCCTAAGCCACCGTTTTGATCGCGTATAAAAGAAGACTATTCTAGGGAATTGTGCCATGATTTTAAAAAGGATTTTAAAGCTGCCACTTACCAGGATTAGTTGTAATGATGGTTTTTGAAATTACAGTTGCCACCATGCAGTTTCGAAATTTGTCAAAGTTTATTCTTACATCTGATGCAAATATTACTGGTAAGGAAGATATGATCCCTTTGTTATTTTACAAAAAGCTTTACCTTTTGCGACAGTCTCAGCAAAAGTATTCTTCAACGAAATTAAAGGTACCTGTTTCACGAGGCACCCAGCTCTGTGCAAGCTGGATGGATTCGTTATCCCAGCTAGAGAAAAAGTCAATAAAAATGTTGCTTAGTTAATTAAAATGTTTATTTTTGTATAAATATAAAAATATTCATACGCTTGCAAAGTCTGGTCAGTTACAAACACAAAACAGCCTGAAGAATATAAACTACAAGACAATAAAACCACAACATGTAGGGATTAAAGACATTTAGTGCCCTAACAAGGTTTGGAAGGTGGAAAGAATCTGGGTCTTGAGACACCGGACTAAAAGTCCTTGAGCTGGCTGTGATATGGGGCTTGGAGAGGTGGCTCTTTGGTTCGATCCAGTAGGGCTGCCCATATAAAAGTGCTACGATCTACCTATAATGCTGTTGACATCAGTATTTCTGCAAAGGTTGGTCTGTGGCTGGTGCTATACAATATGTTGCTGAGAGCAAGCAAGATCATCCATGGCCTAACTAACTAGATGGCTTCTTTATTTCCACACCGCCATGATGACCTTTCATAATTGATTTGCAGTTCTGTTTCACTCTGTTTCTCCTGAGGGAATAATTCATCAATAACTCATAGAAATAGGTAATATATTCGAGGCCACTCCACCGGACAGCTTTATATGTAATAGAGGTTAATGGATATTGCTGCTGCCATTTAATGAATGTTGCTGTATCATCAGAGAAGCCATGCTATTAATAATAGGCATCAATTAATTATAGTTGTATGTTCATTGTAGTCTTATTCACAGTCTTTTTGGTCTGGTAGTGCTGGGAGCGGCCCATCTAGAAGCCTCCTTAGAATATAGCTTACCATATCATTGCAAAGGAAGACTCCGTTTCATCAAACAGTCTTACTTCACATCTGTGGCCTTTCCGTCTGTCTGAAGTTGTGAAGTATTTTGGTTCACCAACCTTTGTGAAGTAGAAGAAAAACCCAATTTGGATCTACATTTTGTATTCCTAGCTAGCTAGTTAAACAGTAATAGCCCTTTTCTACATAGCACGTTATCATTAAAACTCTTCTTCTTCTTGGTCAATCTCCAGGCAAGAGGGAAATTGCCTGACCACAGGGAGATTTTATCCCCTGACACTGCACCCTTGCTGCCAGGGCCGTTGTGTTACACATGATGCCACGGCTCCACTCCTTACAATGGTCCATGGTCACGATGGGCTCAAGGAGATGCACTCACCTGCTCTCTCATTGGTTTCTCCTCTCTTGGCATTTTGATACACCGACACGGCATAGATGCAGAACACATACAAACATTCTTGCATTCAGCCCATCAACCCAAACACCATCTGGGAATCGGTGGAGATGGGTTTCAAGCCTTATGCCAAGTTTGATAACAATATTATATACTTTCAGCCTCTTACCAGCAGGCTAAGGAGCTCAAATAAGCATGGGTTGTGTCTGTGAGATTCGCAGTGCCAAGAGGCACAATCAGCTGAGTTATGCTGAAAGTTACCCACAGCAGTTGCTATGACCTCAGAAATGTTCTTCTATAGCTCTTGTTAATTTCAATAGGGTCTGTTTCCTTAAGGAACGGATTGCGTAGGAACCAGAGATTAAAAAGACAGACAAGGGCATGACATGGCTACATGAGTGCTTAATCAATAACCAATTTAACATGAATACTTTTTGGTATTGTTAAAAATGTGCATATGTCAAAAGAGTTTAAATACATCTCCTCATATCCTGCCATATCATGATGCCATCCTTGATATATGAAAGTTCTGTGGAATACTGCTCATTAAACCTTTGAGGTATGTCGCTGTTAGCCTACCTTAGCACTTGACCAAGCCCAGTGTCTGATAACCAAGACAAAAGATCAACCCAATCTACCATACTGGGACCCAGTAAATCCTTATCTATTCAGCAACCAGGTAGATCAATAAACTACAGCAGAAGCTCGCTTCAACTTGCATAGTTTGTTCTGACTTACTGACTTAATAGCCGCAAGAACGTTAATGATTTTTCCATCCAGGCTCTGCCCATTGGCCACAATGTCCTCTAGAGAATAAAAATCTTGAGGGTTCTTCACAGGTAGTTTCAACAGGGATAGCAGTTTGGCGTCCACTTCATTGTGGGTGCAGATTTTGACAGTGGAATGATTCTCACTGAGCAGTAGCTTGTAGCAGCTGATAATACAGATATATAACACATTGGCTATCATTATTAAAAGATTGTTTATATGTTATGAACACTCCAAATCAGTGAGTGTTACTGTTATTTGTTATGCCATTCCTGTGAAAAGTCCTCTTCAGTGCATATGATATCAATGTTTGTGGTCCATCAAACCTCAACACTGAGATTAATGACTCTTATGGCTAGCAGTACCAGTCTTCAATTCCTAAGCCACCGTTTTGATCGCGTATAAAAGAAGACTATTCTAGGGAATTGTGTCATGATTTTAAAAAGGATTTTAAAGCTGGCACTTACCAGGATTAGTTGTAATGATGGTTTTTGAAATTACAGTTGCCACCATGCAGTTTCGAAATTTGTCAAAGTTTATTCTTACATCTGATGCAAATATCACTGGTAAGGAAGATATGATCCCTTTGTTATTTTACACAAAGCTTTACCTTTTGCGACAGTCTCAGCAAAAGTATTCTTCAAGGAAATTAAAGGTACCTGTTTCACGAGGCACCCAGCTCTGTGCAAGCTGGATGGATTCGTTATCCCAGCTAGAGAAAAAGTCAATAAAAATGTTGCTTAGTTAATTAAAATGTTTATTTTTGTATAAATATAAAAATATTCATACGCTTGCAAAGTCTGGTCAGTTACAAACACAAAACAGCCTGAAGAATATAAACTACAAGACAATAAAACCACAACATGTAGGGATTAAAGACATTTAGTGCCCTAACAAGGTTTGGAAGGTGGAAAGAATCTGGGTCTTGAGACACCGGACTAAAAGTCCTTGAGCTGGCTGTGATATGGGGCTTGGAGAGGTGGCTCTTTGGTTCGATCCAGTAGGGCTGCCCATATAAAAGTGCTACGATCTACCTATAATGCTGTTGACATCAGTATTTCTGCAAAGGTTGGTCTGTGGCTGGTGCTATACAATATGTTGCTGAGAGCAAGCAAGATCATCCATGGCCTAACTAACTAGATGGCTTCTTTATTTCCACACCGCCATGATGACCTTTCATAATTGATTTGCAGTTCTGTTTCACTCTGTTTCTCCTGAGGGAATAATTCATCAATAACTCATAGAAATAGGTAATATATTCGAGGCCACTCCACCGGACAGCTTTATATGTAATAGAGGTTAATGGATATTGCTGCTGCCATTTAATGAATGTTGCTGTATCATCAGAGAAGCCATGCTATTAATAATAGGCATCAATTAATTATAGTTGTATGTTCATTGTAGTCTTATTCACAGTCTTTTTGGTCTGGTAGTGCTGGGAGCGGCCCATCTAGAAGCCTCCTTAGAATATAGCTTACCATATCATTGCAAAGGAAGACTCCGTTTCATCAAACAGTCTTACTTCACATCTGTGGCCTTTCCGTCTGTCTGAAGTTGTGAAGTATTTTGGTTCACCAACCTTTGTGAAGTAGAAGAAAAACCCAATTTGGATCTAAATTTTGTATTCCTAGCTAGCTAGTTAAACATAAATAGTCCTTTTCTACATAGACAGCATGTTATCATTAAAATTCTTCTTCTTCTTGATCAAACTCCAGGCAAGAGGGAAATTGCCTGACCACAGGGAGATTTTATCCCTTGACACTGCACCCTTGCTGCCAGGGCCGTTGTGTTACACATGATGCCACGGCTCCACTCCTTACAATGGTCCATGGTCACGATGGGCTCAAGGAGATGCACTCACCTGCTCTCTCATTGGTTTCTCCTCTCTTGGCATTTTGATACACCGACACGGCATAGATGCAGAACACATACAAACATTCTTGCATTCAGCCCATCAACCCAAACACCATCTGGGAATCGGTGGAGATGGGTTTCAAGCCTTATGAAGTTTGATAACAATATTATATACTTTCAGCCTCTTACCAGCAGGCTAAGGAGCTCAAATAAGCATGGGTTGTGTCTGTGAGATTCGCAGTGCCAAGAGGCACAATCAGCTGAGTTATGCTGAAAGTTACCCACAGCAGTTGCTATGACCTCAGAAATGTTCTTCTATAGCTCTTGTTAATTTCAATAGGGTCTGTTTCCTTAAGGAACGGATTGCGTAGGAACCAGAGATTAAAAAGACAGACAAGGGCATGACATGGCTACATGAGTGCTTAATCAATAACCAATTTAACATGAATACTTTTTGGTATTGTTAAAAATGTGCATATGTCAAAAGAGTTTAAATACATCTCCTCATATCCTGCCATATCATGATGCCATCCTTGATATATGAAAGTTCTGTGGAATACTGCTCATTAAACCTTTGAGGTATGTCGCTGTTAGCCTACCTTAGCACTTGACCAAGCCCAGTGTCTGATAACCAAGACAAAAGATCAACCCAATCTACCATACTGGGACCCAGTAAATCCTTATCTATTCAGCAACCAGGTAGATCAATAAACTACAGCAGAAGCTCGCTTCAACTTGCATAGTTTGTTCTGACTTACTGACTTAATAGCCGCAAGAACGTTAATGATTTTTCCATCCAGGCTCTGCCCATTGGCCACAATGTCCTCTAGAGAATAAAAATCTTGAGGGTTCTTCACAGGTAGTTTCAACAGGGATAGCAGTTTGGCGTCCACTTCATTGTGGGTGCAGATTTTGACAGTGGAATGATTCTCACTGAGCAGTAGCTTGTAGCAGCTGATAATACAGATATATAACACATTGGCTATCATTATTAAAAGATTGTTTATATGTTATGAACACTCCAAATCAGTGAGTGTTACTGTTATTTGTTATGCCATTCCTGTGAAAAGTCCTCTTCAGTGCATATGATATCAATGTTTGTGGTCCATCAAACCTCAACACTGAGATTAATGACTCTTATGGCTACAAGGTTAT